CGGGTCTTTATCTTTCAATGATAATGATGTCTCGCTCGTTTGACCCCAGCAAAAACAGCAACAACCACAACTAAAAGAATGGCGGTCAGCATGTCAATCAGGGACCAGACTGAGACTTTGTACGACAGCAACAACTGCACGGGACGCTACAAACACTTTAGGTGGAGAAACATGGCGGGCTGACAGTACTGTGATGGAATGCGTGAGTTTGAGGCGTTGTGCCACCCGCCAGCCATTGAGGGCGCCTCGTTAGCAGGATGCCCGCAGTAGTTTAGATATTGGTACGCCGTAGATGGCAGTGACGGAGCACATGCGAATTAGTGTCTAGACAGCCTGCCAATAATAACTATTTCACTCATGTCCTCCTGCGTGCTTCTGCATGCAGCCGCACAACTCCTGTATATCAGTGAGATGTTCACCAGGAGAATGTGTGCTCTTTTTTTTTAAGCCCATGTCGATTGCGCTGAGAGTCTAGCCCATCACTCGAAGCAAAGTATCGAAACCACCGCACGAGTGCCCACTCTGTGCTTATATTCATCCACGTCTCATCAGAGTTCTCGTATCGCACTCGTACAGCACAGCACGACACCCAAACAAAACCTTATAAGTGGGCGGCTTCTGACTGAACGGCTTGGTGTGGAATCCTTCATGCAGCCACACAGACTAGCAGCAGATAGAGTCGTGTTAGCGCCATATCTCCCCTTGCTCCGTATCTTCACAAGAAGGACATGATGCAGATGGGTCGTTTCAAAATATGATGCCAGATGTGTCAGGTCACTGAAAGCTTTATGCAAAAACTCGGGGATCTTGCTAGCGCTGCATCACAACGACTCCCTTATGGCGCAACTCAGCATTGTCAGCATCCCGGCTGCCATACTTTCTTTATGCCATGGCTAGCAGAGCAGCATTCAAACTAGCCTATGAAGAGTACCAAATATTTCTCCTGTACAACGACGACTGAGTTTGTGTTGGTCAGACTAGTTCCGGAACAACAGATCTAGGGAAGCGGCGTAAACCTTCCTCGCTTTAGGCCGTACCGACCAGCCTTAGCTGAGGAGGATATAAGCTAGGCTAATGTCAAGACACTAGAGCTGGAGATGCAAGATAAAGTACGGAGGATCTCATCGTCTGGTGGTTAGTTTCATTTGCTCGTCCTGAACGTTGAGGGGCAATCAACAACTGCCATCTATCGCAACATATCTTCGCAGTCGTGCAGAACATAGTCTACAAAGATTGAGTCTAATATCCCCAATACGTTATTCGTCAATATCGCTTGGGAATGTCCAAAATCTCCATTATGTGATGTGACGTAAGGAAGTTGTTGGCACGGCTGCAGGTTCCACAGCGATCCCGAGCTGTAGCTCGACCCACTAACGCCCCAGTCCTGTCAGCCTCGTCCTAAAAACTTTCCCTTAACTTCTAAAAATCTCCGGAGAAAACCACACAGACCATAAAGAACTTCGCGCCCCAAGCAACCATGTTGCCTTCGCCAGAGGCACCGCCTAAACCATCTCTCCAAAAGCGTAAAGAATCAACAGAGGCAAAACCACCCGCAAAACGTCCTCGTCCACAGCCTGCCTCCAAACCAACACTCATTGGTCCCCACGAAGATGTCATTTCCCAGCTCCAACCGAAATACAATATTCTTCCCGCTTCCATCATATCCTCCACACAGATCCGGAAACGCATCGCGCAAGTTGTTTCCCATCTCGACAAGCAATCGCCATTGCCGGGCGTGGCTCTGCTTCACGCGCGAACGGGTGATGTCTGCAAGATGATTACTGTCGTGGAGCAGTGCAAGAGGCTATTAAAGGAACAAGGGAAATGTTGGTTTCAGTATAATCAGATGTTTGAGACGCCTGGGAAGGAGAAGGAGAAGGATGTGGTGGAGGAGACGGTTCTAAAGGGGGGAGGCGAAGGGGAGGAGTCTTCGGATGATGAGTTTGAGGTGATGGCTAGTCGGTTTGAGAAAGCTGTGATGCCGCCTGCCTTGAGGAGGTCGGTGAAGTCGATGAGGATATTTTTGAGCGTTACAAGTATGGGAGAGTTGAGAAACAAGGAAGGTGTGACGGTGCAGATGAGTGATGAAAGTGTATGAGTTGTTGGAGGGATTCGAAGACTTCGTGGTCATACACATGATAGATTTGCATTGGTGGCGTTAAAGGGCATTGGGTGTTGATTTATTCGAACACATCACGGAGTACAAGGCGCAAGATACCCAAATAGTTGAAACGATAGTTAGACGCTGAAATGAGATGGTATTTGAAGCTATCGGAATACCCAAATACATGATGAAGAACTAATTAAAATCAACACCGGGCCTAAATCAGGTCCTCCCTCCAGAAGAAGTAGCAGCCACACCCATCAGCTCCTTTCTTTCCCAAGTCACTCTTTGCAGACCCCTGTGTATCCTCCCATCATCCTTGTGCATCTGTCCTTTCACGGAAAACTCATCCAAAACGCCCCCAACAATCAGCTCTTAGTTCTTATGCTTCTGCTTGTTGGAATGGTCGGTAATACGCAAAACAAAGTTGACCACAACAGCCAGCAACAGAATGATCGCGAGGAAAGTAGGGCCGAAGCGATCGTCAAACCCTGCCTGTCCCCTCATCCGTATCGACTTGGCTCTCCAATGATACGTGATGAGTGCATACAGCATTGTCATCATAGCCACGCCGGTGAAGAGAAAAGCTGAGATAAAAGCCACACGGTCACCAAAGTTGAGCATGCCAATGGCCAGGGCTCCCAGGATGACAGTGAAGTTGAGCCATGATAGAAAGGTGCGCTCATTGGCGAAGAAGACTTTAGGTTCGACTCGAGTGGGCAAAGCGATGCGCTTGCCTGCAAGGAACTTGGTCAGTAAGAGGCCCTGCTGGTATAGGTATATAGCGATGGATAGGCACGACAAACCTTGCGACGTTTGGAGGAGGGGCTGCGAAGACATGGTGATGAGTGGGTGAAAGAGTACTTGATTCGCGATTGGGCAGGCTGTTGGTCACTCTCCCAAATTGGCGACGCTACGAGTTCAAGCGCTGTGAGACACGAATGGCTCGGATGACGCTATACTTTAGCAAGATGCTCGGTCAAAAAGCAATGGCCTCTGAATATGGTGTTTTCATTGAGAAGAACAAGAAGACGAAAAAGCTTCTCGCAAGCCCGTTCGACGGGTTCGGTTCCAGTACTGGTATTCTCTGGAACAACCCCACCAGAATACCGGATTAGGAGAGCTTGAGGTGCACGTGGGTTGGGTGGTTGGCCAGCAGTCACGTGTCATGCCCCGCGAGATTCTCTGAGCACCCCCAAATGCCGTAGGAGATGGGTCGAACAAGCGCCGAAAGGGGAAATCGGTCAGGCACAAAGAGAATGTCTGGTGAAGGAACACCGTCGATGAAAACTTATTTTTGGTGTTGAGACATTTGACTGCAGGCATATTGTGTTCACTGTTAGTATAGCTGGTTTTATTTTTCCTTACCCAGAGGCGTATTTTTCTCCCAGGATACTATTTCCCGAGGTAATATTATTAGTGGGTTGTTGATGACATAGTCTAGCAGCGAGATCGAATATCGCGCGACCAGCGGCCGGACCCCCTCTGGAGCCTATTGTTTACCTTGAATTGCAGTCCCGCTCCACCTGCATCGTGTGTCCGTCTTGGATTCAACAGCATCGCAATAATCAGCCAAGATGTCTACTCCGGTATGCACGCTCCATACACGAATGCCTTTTGTTCTCCATTGATAAAATGACGTTACTGACCATTAGCACAGCCTATCCCCTTCACTCGCCTCAAGCAGATCGCCACTGATGTATGCAAATTCCCCTGACCAGACTTCTTGTCGACCGAGGAGGTTCACCTCACCACAAGTTTAACCTTCGGGATGATGGTTCTGACAACCAGGATTAATTACAGGTCTGCACGAGTGCCATCGGTAGCGCCGAGTTTTACGACCACGCCAAAACAGAGCAATGGAATTCAAACATCATTGTACGCTCTCCCTGTTCCATTCTGTTCCGACTCCTTCTATTCAAGCAAAGACAACGAGCTGGGATCTAACAACTTTGTCCACAGAGCTCTATGCTAAAGGCTGTCATCTCCGAATCTACCCCCCAGGGAGGCTCAACCCCATCCTACAAGTTTGCCTGCAACAGCACCATCGTCCAGCACCTCGTCCCCTCTTCCTCTCTCAACAAGGCCCGCGGCGGTACCGAGACCAAAGACGAAAACCCGCATATCTCGACGAGTTCCGAGGCAACCGCCACAGACGGCAAGCCTCATGTTGGTCGACGTGGCATGCACAGTGCCACTGGTGCGTTTTGGGACGAGAAGAAGGATGGCATGTGGACCTTCAAGTATGATGGTGGGGAGGGCAAGGGCATGGATGTTGTGATTATGCTCATCTGGATTGGCATCTAAAGCCAACTGTCCATGACGCGGGAAGCATGTGACATGTTATACGCCCGAGGAAAGGTTTCCTGGATTTTGGGTACGGGACGGGCCCATGAGAGCTGCATTAGACAAAAACTGCGTCCTGCACTTTCGCGGCGTTTCAGGAGCAAAGATATGTAACTGTTCGAAGACTGCCTCTCCGTTATACCATTGCTTGCGAAGTTGGAGAAGCTGGACGTGGTTATAAGATTGTGATTTTCTTAATTTTTCGTTGTGTCTCGTTCAGGATTGACCATTCTCTTGTGAGGTGTTGTGGGGCGTAGGCTGTATACGGGAGGCTCCATCGTGAAGCCTGCCCTCCACCGTTGATATAAGTTGCCGGGAGAGGAGCTCCATGCCGTAATGATGAGAAAGTGGACTCGAGTGCCCCCAAAAAAACACAATCCAAAGGCGGCTCTCAGTGCCAATAGTCAGATCTCGTCATCATTGCCGTCATGTCAAGTTCCAGTCGGCCAGAGCTATCTTCTGTGCTTTTGATGATCAACAGAATTTAACAGTTCGGCAAGCATTCTTCTTGACAAAGGGGCTTGCAACTGCAAAAAAAAGAATGAATATACGACATCTACAGGGATCGAACCTGTGCGGGCGAACCCATTGCCTCACTAATTATGAACATAGCAGGGCAACGCCTTAACCACTCGGCCAAAATGTCTCATGGAAAGTCGATATCAGCTACAGGATGCTATTCGGACTATAAAGTTGGACAATGATGCAGCGAGCTATATTCTTTTCTGAACATGTCCCACTTGCAGAGTGCTTTTTCCATTTAGTAAGTCAGCTAGCCAGGTGAGATTTATTAATGTGATATGTGCTGATAGAGGCAGTACCGACCAATTAGGTTACACGAGGTATTGAAACTCCTATCACTCGGGACATTCAGCAGGTATTGCTATTCACGGAATTGTGCACATGAATTAGTGTATCGGTGACCGAACTGCTTTAACTATCGAAGCTGTCGGCTTGAGATAAGTATAGAATTCCAGGGACATAGTCATCGGGCTACAGTCTGAATGGATATCTCAGCTCTACTCTCGAACGTATACGTAGAATGCAACAAAACTACAATTGCGTTGATGGAGCTAGGGGCAGAAATGGCCACAACCAGCCACTTGAAGCCATGGAGGTTGCTGTCAAAGGCAAAGACTCATACTATTTGGTATGATTCTAATCTCAAAGGAGTCTATTTTCGCGCAGAAAGCGATTTTTAAGTCTTGTCGAGCAACTATATTGATGGGTTGATGGTCCAGCGAGCGTCCGTGGCTGGTTTCTAGTACCACTTCATCTTGAGTAACATAAGAGGTGACCAAACTTAATTGCACGAGTCTTCGCGGCTTTCAAGATACTCTGCTTGACTCTGGTGGTCCTATTCTATCTGACTGACTTCTAAGAGTCGTGGCAGGTTGTGACCGACGATTAGCAACAGCCAGCCTCGACGGAATGCACAAGCTACCCTATGCACAAGACTAGGTAGCCACGCGCCTGACAGATTAATCGAGGTTTCGGGGCCTGCCAACGCACTCTGCCTCCGTCCTGGACGTCTCGATTAGTTTGTCGACACCTTGGTAGCTTTTACAAGGCCTTCGCAAGTCCATTGAGGTATTTTTCTGACCTCAGCGGTGATAGCAGACCAGGCATTCTCTATTAGGCTTAAATCTGGGCTTCTTGTGCAATTAAAGAAGTATTTAATTCCCTGCTTTTTCTTCCAAGTCCGCACAGGGTTACTAGCTCGTAGACTTCAACCAGAATTATTATTTTCTTCTTAAATAAATTCATTGCCCTTATTAATCTACTCAGGCTTAATATAGCCCTCCGGAATAACCTCCTTATATCTCTTTTTTTCTGGCAGTGTTGGTCAATGTTGTCCAGCAGGGTACAGCCGGCATTTAATGTGTTTATGCCATCACAAGATAAGGCCATGAGGGACGACAAAAATAATAATGATTAAAACATATATCTTCTTTTTTTTTGGCCGTCAAATTCGTTGAACTCGAAGATACCGACAAAGTGGTGGGTGGGCCTCGACGCCTCGATTAATCTGTTAGGACCTTGGAAGGATAGCTAGAGGTAGGACGAGAAAAAAGCCCAATTGGATTCGCCGTGACCGTGGTCGATGTCAATGATAGTCATCTGGCACCGATATCCTCATGCTTTGTTATCAGGGCTAAAAGCCTTGCGGATTGTGACGTGATCACCATGCCACCTCCTCACTTACATCTCCTGATAAAGGAACGATACGGCACAAGGAGGTTTGGTCGTCACAAGGCCAGGCTATAAAAGGCATATGCAGATGCAAGCCAGCATGCACTTGCTGCAGGAAACGAAACCGCGGGTGGGGTGGGTGCAAGCGGGTGTTCTGATGTCGTGTTTTGGTATGTGCAAGCGAACCTATGCTGATTTGCTGTTGTGTTGGCATCTGTGTCACTTCAGACCCCGGATGGTTTGATTCCTCACCGCAAAGCCCAAAATGAGTTGCAAGACCATGCTCTTGTACATCCATCACCCACTCACTCTTCGTACATCAGGTTTGAAGTCGCTGCTTCCCAACACAATGACCACGACATGAACCCCGCACGAATATTTTTTTCAGCTCCTACGAATCACAACTTCTTGATACTACTGCCCTATTTGCCGATTCTATCAAAAAGACATTCATCTTGGCAGATCGTCAAGGGTCCAGTTCCATTGCTCATGCCGTCATTGCTGCCCGCTCACTGACAATGCTCCGCAATGATGCCCGTGTGCAGATCTGGGGCCCACGTTCTTGAGGTGTCCCAGTGCCTTGTGGAGTATCGTGGAGAGGCAGTTTGATGTTGGGAAACCCGCTTATCAGCAATGCAAGGACCTCTTTGGCTGACGACGGAATACAGATCCAAATATTGTTGCACTATACGACCAGGATCCCGAAGATCTTCACATGAAGTGACAGTTCATTCTCACCTTGGGGGCTTGGCGCGATATTTGGATCATTGTTACATTTCTTCGCAATTCTGGGATGACAGCCTTGCAGACGCCCAGAGCGGTGACCTCTGACCAACGGCAGAGTTCTGGATTGGTCGTCGGGGTACCTCGGAATTCGGCGCCACAATGTCGGATCACCGACCCATGGGTAGATTTGATAGACCCTTTGTATCATGCCGCACCAAGCGTTTGGGACTGAGCGTGCGAGCACACCACCACTGCACCGACCACACCACAACTAGTCGAACGGCAAGCAGCCAGACGGTGTCTCTTCGCTATCGGCTTGCGCTGAGAAGGGAATCCCGCCCTCAGCCGCCTCGGCTTGCTTGGGATAACTACAGGCCTTTTTTT